ATAAAAATATGCGGTATTTTTTTTGACAGTAAATTCGTTGTGTCATCTTTCAGACTTTTTTTTTTTACTGCAAGCCATTATCGCCCATTGTTTTTCGTCTTCTCTTTTTTTGCTCATCACTTGATCAGTTATGTGTTACTTTTCTTTTGTGCTATTTTTCTTTCATTGTATTTTGCACAACAACTACATTTATTCCGAATAAAAACGGCATTTTGGTGACCGTTACACAATACTGTCATCATCACACAAATAAAGAAGAGGTACCAGACACACTGCCCATTTTGTAGACAGAAGTTGATGGCTGTAAACCTGTAATTCGACTTACTTCCCTTCACTCACTAGTTTCTAACAGTTCCATCGAATTCTAAATAATTCCATATTACCTACTTTCTCACTTACTAACTACCTTACCCTCCTTTTCTCTCCATTAATTTTCCTTATATAAACCACTTTGGAAACTCAGGTTATTAGTCTCGGAATTAACGCGCGTCGCTGGTCTGCCACGTCCTGCCCCAACTAACGCTACCAACTGGCCCGCCCCAACACGACTAGCGTCCCCCCTTCTTCTCAATAGCTTGTGTGGCGCTTCGACTCGTTTTATTTGAAATGAAAGTTTTATTGGAAAATAAAGTGGTGGCACTCTTCGCTGTCTTCCGCTGCTGCAGTCAAAGACCACATGAGGACCTAACACGGATACAGGTGAGAACCAAGCAGCTCATTGATTGCAAACGCAAAGACCTTCCATATGTCCGCTCAGAAGTCTACCCTGCCCAGACAGTTACTAAACCTTGGCTTGGCTCGATCGGCATCATACACGATTCACCAAAAATTTTTACTGGCGATGGGAAATGGGAGCGATTGACGACACTTGGAATGTGATGGGCGGAAGGGGATAGTTTACTGCGGGTTCCGTTCAGAGCAATGGAGGGGCAAGGATGGGTGGATTTAAGAGCTACATGGTGTAGATGCTTTGTTGGTTGGCTAATTCATGTAAATTTGGGGGAAAGTTGGGGGGTGAAATGATAGATGGAAAGAACAAGGAAATGTGCTGCTGATTTTCTGCCGTGGATATCTGCGATTGGGAGACGTGCTCCTTAATTTCCTTTTGCTTTTTTTAGCTTTTTATTCACAGGTCCCGATTCTTTGATTTTGTTTTTTTCATAAGTTTAAGTTTTCTTTGTGCTGCTGTGTTGCCTCTTCTTCATTGCTGCTACCCAGATGCAGCTCCCTCACACCCATTCCAACCTCACCCCCTTGTCTCGAATCCAACACCCAAAAAAAGTACTCTCGCACTGCCATTCCTCCCCCCTCCTTCCCTCTCCCCCGTAGTCTAGCCCCTTCCATACCTCACGTAACCGTAGCAAAAACCAGCAGCACGACCCTTCCTTCTTTTCAGCCATCACCCCTCCCCTCCCTCCCTTACGTAGCCTAGGTAACTGCCAAAGGGCCCACGCCACGTAACCTCTCAACCCATCCCCTACCAACCCCTCCCCTACCCCA